AATAATTTGCGCCACGTTCTATAAATTAGATGGCATTTCATTAGAATCCACCGTCGGCTAATGCGTCGTATACGCAATGTCCCAAGACGCACACACACACGCGTGAAGAGCTGTGAAAAGTGAATGAATGAATAGAATACCCAAGCAGCCAGCCAGCCAGCCAACCAACCAGGCTGCCAGGCAGGCAGTGAGCTAGGCTAGGCAGCGACTCGTTGCTTAAATTAAAGACGCTGTGGTTGCTGCGTGTGGTGCAGTGGGTGGCTTGAGTGGTTAGCGTGGCACGCTGATGAATGTGTGCAGACCGCTTAATTATTCATTGAGGGCAATGCATTGGAATGCCGGAGTATTATGGCTCCGGCCGCAAGCTAATAAATAGGCAGCACAAAACTGTACTGTAAACCGTGCAATTGTGGTGCGCATTGCCGAATGCCTCGCATTAATCAGTGGTGCACATTGATTAGAGCGCTCGAGCGTAGCAAAAACCCGCACAATGGCTGCAAATAATCATGAAGTTGTCTAAAACAATGAAGAGAGAGAGAGAGGGCTCGAGAGAGAGAGTGCGTGCGAGAAGTCGATTTTCTCGACTCATGTGTGTCGCCTATGCAACGGCGACTCTCGCATTGTTTTTGTCTGATGAGCGAATCCCGCGAGGCATCTAATGTTATTTTTATGGCAATTTTATGTTTCCTCCCTCATACACACACGGGGTCCTGCATTTACACATCATAAAGCCAACGATAATTGCAGTGAAAAATAGAAAAATTCTTGCATTGTTTCTGCGTCGCTCTGTCTGTCTGCTGGGCGCTGCTACGCCCCTTCGAGTCGTCTGTGTCAAGTAATAATAAGTCTGCAATCATTAGACGACAGCGTGCAATGACTTTCCATACACACACACACACGCACACACACGCACACACACGCACACACACGCACACATACGCACACTCTTTGACGTAGGCTACAGTAATCATCATCCGGACATGCACACAGCCTGCATATAGTTAATGCCGACAAAAGTTTCAAAAGTGTTTTATTATATAAGAAAAGTCTTTCTCTTCCTATAATTCTGATTCCTTTGAGTCTTTGAGTGATGTTCGTTATATATATAAAAAGTGGAAGAGCTGCTTTAAGACAGCACTTCAAATCGCTCTTGAAACCTTTGTCGCCTGTGCCAAGCGGGTGTGTTTCTTGGCGTGAATGTGATGTGTGCTCGTATGCGTGATATTCCCTTCTTTTTTCTGCTTTCGTTATAATAAACATGAACAAAAATGCGAGCGTGCTCTGCCTGCGTTTTGTGAACCCAATGACCGACTTCTTTGTTGAGTGGTTGAGCGGTGGCAGGGCGTGTGTGTGTGAGTGTGCGGGTCTATGTGTGTGCTTGTGTTGATGTATGTGTCCAGACGAACCAACACTTTCAATTGTGCCCAGCGAAAGCACAAAACAAAGAGAAATTTGGGCTATTAAAAAAGTATAGCATACTTATGGGGGCCCGCTATTTTTAGTCCAATAAGAACTATTAATAATTGCTGTTTGCTAGGCATAAATTGTATGCATAGAAAGACAGAATAAATAAATAGAACTAGTGGAATTTCACATGAATTATATATAAACATAAAGCTGTCAAAGTATTTGAGCTTTGCCTCACACTCTGGGCTCGAACTAGTTGATGGTCTGCTTATCTGTTGATCTAGTAAAATGCATATTTTTATCTAGCTAGTGAGACGCAATTAAACTCGAAGCCAGTTTTAGTCAAGAGCACACAATTTGTAATCAAATGAAACATTTAAATTATTTTGTAGGCAGCTGAAGCTGGAGCAGCAGCCAGCAGACAGAGTCAGAGCCAGAGTCAAAGCCAGAGTCAGGGCAAAAACATAAAGAAAAGTAATTTGTATGCAAAATAGATGCGACTTGAGTTAAAGGGGGTTGTGGAACGGGCTGTAGTGTAAAGGACTTGGTGTCTCACTATTTGCCAGTGGCTCACATTTACATGCTAAATAGCTGCAACTGGCTAAAATCCGTTGATGGCTATCCACACTCAGACTGTGACTGACTGTGTCTGCCTGTGTGTGCGTGTGTGAGTGCTGGCACCCATTGTCTTGTCTGATCTGCCCGAAATACAAATTTGATTTTGAAATGCCTTCGTCTCTCGAGCTTCTTACGGCACTTCTAATTGAAATGTTAAATAATGAAGCCTGTGAAGCGCAAGAGATTCAATCAGTTCATGAATACGGCCATGCGTACGCCAATTAGCTACGAGTTACATGGATTTAAACGAATTGTACTTGCTTCAAAGGACGACACGTATTACCTACCTACGAGCTCTACGAAATTCGATAATCAAATTTATGCAATTTGCAAACAAGCCGAAACAAAGCCACGCACACACATGGGTCGATGTGCGTATTGAAAAAGTTGACGCAATCAATTTCCGTTAATTTGCCAGCTCTTTCTCTCTCTCAGTCTTTCTCTACATGACTGTCTCTTTCCCTCTTGCTGCTCCAAATTAGCGCGCATCGCAACCTGCCGTGGCAAACTTTTTCGCTTAAGTAAAAGTGCAAATTCTTAATTCAACTCGTTGTCTCCCTTTCTCTAGCTCGCTTTGTGTCTCTGTCTCTCTCTATCTCTCTCTCCCTCTCTTTGTCTCTGAAGCCCCTTTTGAGTATTATGATTGCCAATGAGCCGATGCTGTCTGCCTCAGCAGCACTTGTTGTTGCTGGTTTTTGGCCAAGTTTCCAGCTCAGTCAGCACTTTTTCGTTTTGGCCTAATGATGCGTGCGTATTGTTGTTATTGCTGCATATCAATGAAAGCGATATTGATGCAGGCCCACGCGCTTCAGCTACATATTTATGTAAGTGTTGGCATTGAATACTCTCAATGCATTTGAAGTACAGCTATTATTGAAATTGAAAGCTGATAGCTTACAACTAAGCAGTCAATGAATTGTTTTAAATGAGACACAATAATAAATTATTGCTGCACATATTTATCATGAGCCAAGAGCTCTACAAATTGAAACTATTTACTTTAATTATGCATTTTATGTTAATTTCGATGGAGTTGGGAATTAATGGACTATACATGATGCATATATAAATGGAATTTATATAGTCAATGAAGATATGTTATTTATGTATTTATGATTCATGGCGGTTGGTTTATATGCTGATAAAGGTAGATAAAGATTGTGTTTATTTGAATTATTTTTTGTATATTTTTTGACTTGTTTTTTTTGCGTCTTTTGCATTGCGTTAAAATTTACTTGGAAATGCGATGATAAATATATCGAATTGATCGATTTAAAGACTTCACATACTCAGTAGGAGTATTTCGAGCTGCTTTATATATATTTATCAGCTACTTCATATGCTGCAGCAATTTGCCATCATATAAAAATAGTTGTCAACAAAGCGAGCATAACTCCTCCGCAATACTAGAAAGCGTGAGGACTCTTAGTCCACTTCTCTATAAATAATCAATCACCATAATTATCATTTCACTAACAAAGTTACCAACGCATTCAACTAATCTAACTATAAATAACAGCTTAGGAACATTTGTATTAATTATTTTTACTAATTTTTACAGTTCTGTTACGAAAGTCTAAATCATAATATATTAAAAAATTGCATACTTAATATAAATAAAATGAGATTCCTTACATAGAAATGCTTTTGACAGTAATGATTTAATAAAATTTTGGCCATCTAAATCCAAAAAATTGTTGCTGCATTTTCGGCAGTCGTAGACAAAGTGACATTATTTCTAAAGAATATAATCCAATGGTGCTTAGTCCCAGAATGTTGTTGACCAGTTAGACAAATACATTAAAATACATCTGTCATGAAAAGTTTATTTGAGTAGGTCAATTGTTTTTATAAGTTTGAGGAATGGAATTAATAATTTGATAAGAAATTTAACAGCGCTGCCTGGCTGCAAGTTCATTCATATGAATAATAAAATGTTAAAACTTTCAATTAAGGTTGATTTAATTAATTAATGCAAAAAGCAGCAGAAATCAAAATTTCATATTTATTTTTAATATTTAAAACATTAATAAATATTTAAAAATGATCAATCAAACTAAATCAGGGTTCATTTAGCTTGTTGTGTTTGACAGCTTTAAGAATTATGTTAAATTCAATTTAAGGTTACTCTGCTCAAGCTCATTCATATATATATATATTTATTATAAAAAATATCATTTTATACTTTCTTCACTAACTTTATTTGAATATTTAAACCAGCGCCGTATATAATTTCCCATTATTTTTCAAACTCTAACAGCCAAAGAGCTGTTAAAAGCTATGCAACGAAATGGAATTGAAACATAGGAGAGCAGCAGTAGAACACAGTCGACACACGCACACACAGACAGACACCAGCCGAGCACCCACACTCAGCTTAAACGACCTTTGCTTCGTGCGTATTCGCTCAATTGAACGCGCTCTCTGCTTAGCCAACGCCATCTCGCTCTGCAGCTGTCTCGCTTTGTGCGCCTTCGCAACCTCAGACAACGCGAAACAGAGTTTTGGATGCGAGCGCACACATACATATATACACACACACATATATATATATATGTATGTAGTTTTTGGGCAAGTTGGCTCGGCTTTTCTTAGCCTCACATCCGTTCGGCTGGAAGTCGTGCGTGCGACCCAAGTGGAAAACCAGGTAATGAGGAGAGCAAAGCTTTTAGTCTTGGTCGGTTATTGGTGCTGTGTGGTTGAGACGACGACAAGCGCTGCGAATACCGACAGAAGAAGCGACGACTGCGACGACAACGACTACGACTACGATTCTTAGTGTCTCAGCATGACTGCGTGTGTGTGTGTATGTGCGGGTGTGCGTGTGTGAATTAGCAGTGAAAAGGCTAAATTAGGTGTGTGTGCATATGACGAGGCAGAAACAAAACAAAAACTAAAGCAACAACAACAACTGCTAACTGAAACACGTAATAAGAACTCTATGAGTGAAGCACTGCATTAAAAGTAGACGAAAAAGTAAAAAACATTCGCATTCACGTGTTGGTGGCTCGTCGTTTGACAAATTAAAATGCATAAATTATGAATGAAAGTACCGTTACGTGCGTGACAACTTATAATTTGTTATTATTCTAAACGCACGTGGCCAGCGCTCGAAACACTTCGCGTCAACTCTAACGTGGCAGACAAGGCCAACAGCCAACAGTCCTCACCTCCTGCCAGCAGCAACTACTCAATAAGCCGAAACAAACAAAAAAATATGCCAATTGCCGGCAGCAGCTCAGGGGCAAAGCTGCCTTTTCATTGCCAACATCGTCGACTTCCTGGCCACAAAGCATAATAAGACGCAACAGCAGCAGAAGCAGCAGCAGCCGCAACAAAGCCTCCGCAAGTGAGTATTAGAGTGAGTCGCACAACTTAAGCCATATTTCCCTTGAGGGGGCACTCGGCTGGGCAGGATGCTCTGCACCATTTTTATTTTGTTTTTTTTTTTCGTTTTGCGTTACAAATTTCTGTTGAACTTTTGTGTGTTGCGAGCGCGCCTCAGGTGTCAAACATAAATTACAATAATTATGAAATTCTAGCTATAAAACGGCCAAAACACTGCCCATTTATCTAGCCTCAAATTGAGGCCATTTATGACCAAATTAAATATAATTCTAAAAAAATATTTAATGATACCTAAAGTAAATGAACGAAAAATTTGAGTTGATGTAGAAGTTAAAACTTTTGATAGAATTTTAAATTATTTAAATATATAAATAAGACAAAAATTGTGAATTTTAATGTTGAAGAGATTTTGAAATTTATTTTATATTTTTAAAATATATTTTTTAACTGGAATTTAGTGAAAATTGTAGCTAAAGAAATTTGATGAAAATGTGTTTGCTTATATATATATATTTTTTGTTTATTTAATATATATTTATGTATTTATTTGCAGAAATATGAAGCATAAAAATGCTTTTTCTTTGATAGAAAAATATTATAAAATAAATTGTAGAGCCGCGCAACTGTGCTTAAAGTTTGAACGGAAAAACTTTCTAAAAAAAATATTGCATAAATTTAAATAAATATCCTTTTGCTTACTCAAAATTCAGCTGAAAATGGTCAATATTTAAATACATTTTATATCCTTATTTAGCAGCAGCAAAAAGTGTTAGTTATTTGTATTTAAATGCTAAGCATTTCTTTTATGTAGCAGCTAAAGCTTACATTTTAAAGCAATAGCTGGCTTAAAAGCCTGCCAAAGGGACAGCATTGGCCATGGCCACACACACAAGCACACGCACACACACTTAGGCTGGCAAAAATAAATGGCCTGGCTCAGGCAGCCAGTCAGTCAGTAGGTTTGTCACTCAGTCAGACAGTCATTTAGTCACTCGAGCGCTCATTTCTTTAGTGAGCACACAGCCAAGCTTGGCCTACATAGCAGCACGCGTTTAAACTGCGTGAGTGTGTGTGTGTGTGTGTGTGTGTTTGCTGCATGCCATTGAACACAATCGACACATAGCTGCCTGCGTCTGTTTCGTTCAAATAACTTTAAGCGAAATTTAAAATGTGAGCTGTGATCCACGTGGCGTATGGGTAATTCAATTTAATTAAGTTGTGTAGCCAAGGCAGTAGCAGCAGCAGCTACAGCATGTGAGTGACCTCTGTGCGGCTGTGTGTCCTTCGTCTTGCGTCGCATTCTTGGTGCTCTCGCTGTGCTTCGACTATTTGCATATTTAACAAAGCGTCGCCATTCTAGCCACATAATTAATTATGCAAAAGGCTGAGAAAAACAGAACTTGACTATGCAAATGGCTCGAGGTATGCCATGTTACTTGCTTATATACACCATGCCAAGCTGTGCAATGCTCTGTTGAGTATACGCACCGTGGTACAACAGCAACTATTTTGCATAAGCCACTCCATTGGCTGGCATGTGCGTGAATCTTGGCTTAAATAGCTGACAACAAGGTGCTAAAATTATTCATGGCCTCTAATTACATAACATGATTTCATTTGAAAAGTTTATTCAGCCTCTGCCACTGTGTAGGCGTCTGGTTGTGTGTGCGATTTCTTATGTTTGTTTAATTGATTTTATGTAAATTAAATTTCAACCGAGCAGACGCAAACAAAACAAATGCCCAGCAAATGTTCTTGTCATATTTCGCTTTTGAGACTTCCAGATTTTGAGATTTGCCAACAAATATGATTAATTCATGCACTTATTTCTGTGTGTTTGCCTGTCATTCGGCTCTTGAGCAGCTTAATTGAGTTTATATCATAGCATTTCGCATTAGTCGCCAGCCAAGCAAAGGTTGCTCAGCCGCAAAATATATTAAGTGCCACCGAATGAGTTGTGTGGTGGGTGATATTAATTGAATTCAACAATCAATTGATAGACTCTTATTGGGTATCAAATTACAGGTAGCAATACTCTTAGTAGACTCGGCATTTGAATATTTTCATTTGGGAATCGATGTGAATTCGTTAAGCTATCTATTATTATTTAAGATGCTTCTTATATAAGAACTATACGTGTTTTAATTTAGATTTACACAAGCTTAAGTCATAAAAAAAAATATCATAAAACATATTTTCAGTATTAACCAAAGAGGTTGTATTAGCTTAAACAGCGGATGACATTAGTGTGTAAATATGATTTTGGCCATGTTACTACCAGGGATGGCGCGTACAAGCCGTATACTGAAACACCAATTTTTTCAATCATGACTTTCATTGTTGTTGAAGACATGTAGACCAATGACTCACCAGGAGGACTCTGCACTTGACTCTGGTCATCTTTTGTGGCTGTAATTCGGTTTCGGCAAAGCCTTCTGTTCTTTCCTCACTCTAAAATCGACAATCAAAAATGAGCTTCTTTAATATAAAAATCATAAAAGGGAACGAAGTGCGCGATAAATTAGAAGAACAAAATTATTGTTTTGCTATGAAATTTTAGTATAAGTATATTTATAATAAATGTAAAGTTAAATAAGACAGAATGCAGCTTGATCTCTTTAGCTGTATGTGTCATAGACTTTAACTGCTGACAGCAGAATTTGATGAGCTTCTCTACAAGATATATGGATTTATCAATGTCATCTTTACTTTGCCTAAATCAGCAGCTACACATAGCTTAATTCCTGTTTGATTGACTATTCAAATATTTCTGAAATTTGTTTATTTTATATCTCAAAGCCATTAAGACACAGATGCCTAACATATATTAAGCCTTTTTCTTTAATCTTAATGCCAAAATTAAACAGAAATTATGAAATGTCTCCAAACTCTGTTTCCTTGCAGCTTAGCTGGCATTGAAAAGAGGCGAATTTCCTGGAACTGAAACTGTGGAAATTGTAATTTTTTGGCGATGCTTCAATTAATTTAACCACACGCATTAGAAACGACAACAGAGTAAACTGTAATGGAAAAGGAAGCAAAGACAAACGCGGGCAAATAACAGACAGAAATACAAATTGCTGAACAAACACTAGAGCGACGCATGTTAATGTAACTGTGACTGTAACTGGGAAGGTGTATGCGTGTGAGTGTGTGCATAGAGCGCATAATAAGAAGAGCAAATAGCAAGGAGCTGCGTGGAAAATAAAAATAAATAGCAAACGACAAAACGCAGGCCAAAAGGAAGCAAAGAGGCAGTGGAGAAGGGCAGAAGGAGGTGCAGGACATTGGATCCTGGCTGGGTGACGCGTTCCCTCGTTGGCGGTCAAGGGAAATTTATTGCAATGCGCAAATGAGACAACAACAACAACAACAAGAACAGCAACAACAACAACGACGACAGCGACAGCAAAACTAAAACGCAAAGCAAACAGCAGTAAAAGCAGTCAAAGAAGAGGAAAAAGAAACACGCTTGCTGCGTGCCCCAAATTGTGGCAAAAGAAAAATAACCGAAAAAATTTCGCAACAAATTGAAAAATTAAAGTTTTACCAGCGCCAACGCCAGCGCCAGCGTCAAGCAACAACCGACGAAAGAAAAACTTACCCAAAAGTGTTACAAACAGCCACCAAAAGAAGAGAAACCAAAATAAGTACACAGCCAAAGGAAAGGAAAGAAAGCGTGAGAGAAGGAGAGCGGGGAGAGAGAGCGGCGAACGGAACACATTAATGCAACAAAATGGGTGCAACTTTGAATAGACGACGACGTGGCCGGTGCCTGCAACTGAGCGCCGGCTGCTGCTCCGCCGCCCACACATCGTGTGGCCTGCTGCTCGTAGTGGCGCTCGCAGCGCTGCTCAGCCCGGCTGGTGAGTAGTCGAGGGGGTGTTGAATGTTTATTTAATTTATTAGCAACTTTGGCGAACGGCAACGGCAACGCCAACAAAAATTGGCCAAGAAGTTTTGCCGTTTTTGTCGCCACGCCCATTGGGCCAGTGTGGGTGGACGTGGCAAGATTTTGGCCAACAATATTAGTTTGTGCCCGACCACAATTTGACGGCCTCTAAGAGCATATGCTGCCGCCGCATGCTGATACTTTACTTACGAGCACTTAATCGATTTAAGGCCTTCGCTCTGCACTCTGCCAAGCAACTTTGACAGTTGACAGAGTCAGCGCCGCAGCGATTCTTCGAATCCTGCGCAAATCTCGGCAGACATTGGCAAACGATAAACTTTGTGGCATGTTTTAACCCTCTTCAGGACCTTCGTTCGTTACGGCGACCGACTTGACGCATTAATCTGAACTTTGCCTTACTTATTTTTAATTAAGTTCATCAAACTACTTGAAAATATAAACAAAATTAACTGCCAACTGTGCCATAAAGCCACGCGATTCGATTGCTATTGAAACTGAGTGAACTTCCGACGGCGCATCTTATTGAGAAAACGAAGGCAGAGTAACTAAAATATGCAGTCTTAAAAGCTAAACATTTTAATAAGCATTTATATTAAAGCCTTGTGGCGCACGTGACGTATACGCAATGCAATGTTTTACAGTGAGTGCAATCAGCTAAATATAGAAGAAATATAGCAGCAGTATTTAGCTTCTTTATATTAAGCTTTATTTATCATTTTCATTTGTGAATGCTTTGTATTAAATAATAAGATCTGTAACTAGATTTGTTTGTTTGTGTAGACGAGGATTTAGGCTGGGGAGAGGCGTTATTTTAGTACTGGGTATGAATCGAATCAAGTGAGATGGGTGTATTCCCTTGAAACTTTGACGTCTTCTGCTCTGACGCAGTGATCTGACTAGTATGTTAAGGTGACAACTGATATGTTGTTGATTGCATGTTTATTATGTCTCAGATAAGGGATAAGTTGAATTCTACTCAGCACATTTGACACATCTGTGGCCTGTGTTGTGCAGAGATAACTTCAGCTCAGCTGTATTCCATATCTGCATATATCATAAATACTTAAAATTAAATTTAAATTATTAAAAAAAATTAAAACTATTTAAAAATATAATAATAATAATATATATAATAATAATAATAATAATAACAGCTGAGAGCTGGCGTATGGAACGTATGCGTAATGTTAATAACATAAGCAATACTCTTAAATGCAATTTAATGCACTTTAAAAGCATCATACCTGAAGTATCAATTGATTACGTATGAAAAGAAAATAAGTTACGATACTTTTATTTAATTTATATATTTTAAATGTTTAAATAAATTATGTTAGCTCAAATCTGTCATACGCAACATATAAACAATGCCAAAAATAAGCAAAATTTTAAGTGTTATTCTTTTTTCATTTCAATATAAATAGAGCTGAAGCTTGGCTTTCCCACTACGTTCGACGTGACGTATACGCAATGCGAACTATGCGCTTTAAGGCTTAATGGCTTGCCTTTGCTCTAACAGCCAGCCCCTCATTTCGTATATATATATATATATGTTTTTTTTCGTGAAACACTTAATTAACTGTATTGCTTGGCCTGGCTTGTTAGTTTTTCGAGCAGTTTGGCAAAAGTTTTTCCGCCGCGGCATTTAATTAAATAAATAAAACTGCGCAACTTTTTGCCCGCAATATTAATATTTTCTTTTTTTGTTTGTGCTGCCTTTGCCTTGCAGTTGTCAAAGCAAATGTTTGGCAACGCACTCGAAACGTATGTTTTTTCCAACTGACAAATAGAAACTCGTCTAGACAGAGCGAAAAGTAAATGGGAATGAAAATGACTACAACTGCGGCGACTGGGCGACTTAATTGCGTCGGAAAGCGCGTTCACTGAATTATAGATACAAATCTTACTTACAGTTATTACGGGGTCACGTACGCATGTCCAGCGAGTCCGGCGTGCAGAGAAGTGAGCAAGAATAATAGAATTAGGCAAACGTGGCTGGCTGGCAGCAAAGCGAGAGGCAACTCTGCTAAAGGAAACACATTTTTATTGGCAGCACATGAAACTAATGCCAAAGGACACGCAGAACTCTATTAAAGCAAATTCGATTGAAATATGCGACAGACTGTTAGCAAGTATTTTGATAAATTAGCTTAATCAATTACAAGAATTTAGGCAAATTAATTGCGTTCATATGACGAACTGAACTGTGCTCAACTCGTAAACGCAATAAGTTTTGCGTCGGCTTCAGCTAATTAACGCCCGAAAGCAAACAACAATAATAATTTAAACTTTGCCACAGACGTGTGTCAGGTGTCCGATGTCTGCAGCTGGACGTGTAATTAATCATAAAACGTAAAATTGATGTTTTCAATTTAATTGAATTAATCGATTTCGTTTGGCTTGTTTATGCTATAGAATGGAACTGGCGGTGTTTTTGCCCACAGCCAATTCAAAAGTCGATATGAATTTTAATTATATTATTACGGCTCTTCCATGACAAGGCGTGTGTGTGTGTGTGCATGCTTTAATTGATACACTAATTAAAGAAAATAGGTTCTGTTGTATTTGGCCGTCAGGTCATTTGACAATGATCAATTCAGTTCATTGTTACAGCTGCTTTGATTTATTTTCTAGCCCATTTCGCATGAGCCTCTTGGGTTTTGCCATAATAATTCATATTAATTATGCCCGCTTAGCTGGACACTCTATCAATTAACGTGCCGAGGGAATAGACAAACAGAATGTGTTGTTCAATCATTCGCTTAGGCTGAAAATACAGGTCTGGCAACTGAGTCCCTCGTTTTTGCCTTACCGCCCAGAGCAATTGTCCTGTTCATGCAAAAAATGACAAACATAACTGCGCTGCATTGTTAGTTTTTCATTTTTTTTTTATGCTGGTTTTGTGTTGCTGCGTTTAAGTTGCTGGCTTTGGCCATTTTCATAAGCTGCCTGCAAATCGATGACAAAGTTTCCTCGACGGCTGGCGCCGTCAGCCGGCAAATATGCAAATGCAAGTGCGCCTGCAATGCAGCAAAGCAGCGAGGAACGTGCTCCATTTACAGCAACAACTGCAATAACAACAACAACAACAACAGGAACGGGCATGGGACACAACAGAACGCACTCATCGTCAAAGAAAACGAGCCTGACAGAGAGATAAACACACACGCACAGAGAGAGAGAGAGAGAGAGAGAGAGACTCAAACATAGACAATGGACAGCTTGTCCTCGTTTTTGTTGTTCTAGCCGACGCTGGAGACTGAGACAAACTTCCGCCTCTGATTGCAGATTAAGCACGTTTCAGGCGTCTGCCTCGGCCGGCACCCGAACGCCTGCCAGGGGTCTAAATTGATGCGTATTGATGCTGCAGGCGTTCCGAAACGTATATATATATATCTATTTGCTCAAGGCTTTGCATCCGGTCCAACGGATCCAACCACCAAATCAATCTAAATTATCATCTCAGCTGCATTACGTTTATGGCTCTCGAGTTTATCATAAATTCTATATTCATATTTGAAGCCATCACAGCTATGCAAATATATTGCCAATTAGTTGAAACTTTGACCTCAAGGTTGATTCAATTTGGCATTCGAAAACTTAAAGCGTGACTTGGATTGTTTTCTCTAGTCGCTCAAAGTATGCTAAAATATTCGGTTTAATATTCAAAACAAATAACTGTTAGCGTATCGCTGACTGCTGCGTTTGACACTTGCCACGCTCACATTCACGTTGATATCATCGTTGCAGAATCGTTGGAGTCGTGCAGCTAACTTGAATTTATTTGACTTTGCCTGCGTCTGACATTTGCCTGCGGGCTGTAAATTTAATCATTTAAAAATCAACAATAATTAAGCACGAAACTTGTTCCGCAACTTCAGGTAGTGGTGATTAGATCGTAACTCTGGCATTTACACGACATCAAATGGAAAACTTTTCCGGTGAATAATCCATCTCCCCTCCCACCAAACCCGACTACGGCTACGGCAGCTCTTAATTAAGCACCGCATTTGATGACAAAAACTTTCCATGTTGCACAGTGTTGCTCGTCTGTTGCTGTCTTAATAATTAGTCGGGTTGACCCTGAACGGCAGCAGCCGAAAGAAAGCTTGTCATCACGACTGCCTTGCCTGACACTTATCAAATTTACTTTTGAATCAAAAGTGACAACAGAAAAGTAAATGTTAAAGTGATAAAACATTTGTACAACACTTAATTGGAGTCGAGAAGGGGAAGCGTAAGGGAAACGTACATAAATTGCTCAATTAGAAATTGTTGCATCAATTTTTGAAGATTGAGCAGATAGTGAAACTTAACATTGAGTATTGACTACATTTAATAATAGAAATTGAAAAGTGTTGAATGGCTTAAGCGGCAGGGCTCGTAGTACCCGTGGCAGCGTACGAGTCAGACTCCAAGAGATGATCAAAAAGGTCTCGAGTGACAAGTTGTCACCCAAGCAGATTGGGTAGGCATTATGTCTCGGTGCAGGTACTCCCACATAGGTGGTTAGGTGAAGAAACAGACATCAATATCCTCAATACCCACTAGACCGTGCCTTCACTTAAAAGCTATCAAATATCCTTTGAACTCTGAACTTTCAACTTTCAACTTTGCTTTGTGATTGTTCCACCCAATAACTCTTTCTTACCCAAAGCATTAAAAATATATTTCATCAATTTCAGCATAGATTAAGTTGCCTTAAAGTAGCAAAAAAAAGTTGCAAAAAGATTTAATAAAAAATGTTGCCTACTTTAGAGCGCTATAGGAAATCTTCATTGAAGAAACTAATATTGAACTGAGCAGAAGCAGGCACAGACAACGGAAAAATGTATATAAAACAAGATAAATTCTTATGAATTATATACTATGCTCTGTTAAAATTAAGCAACGATTGCTCTAGATAATAACATTTAAAAAATAACTTATAAATACACCGCAGTAACTCACCAGCAAAGCAACTGCGACGAGTTGTAAAAAGTGTAGCATACTTTTGTGCGCCCTTTGAAATTTCTTTGTTTCGCTTGGCTTCCACAGCTATTTCTGTTCTTTACGTTTTTAATAAAAAATGACATCAAAATTTAATTGTATTTATTTTGGGTGAAACAATAACTCAAATTTCTGATTAGTTTTTATGTGTCTAAAAGTAGCAACAGTTCAAGGCTGGATATATATAGAAAAAAAATTTGTTTCTACCATCCAGCACAGCAAATGCTAGAAAATGTGTATAAAACTTGGGTTTATTTGAAGAGCAATTGCATTAGACAATAAAAACTCTAAGAAATGGCCAAGAAAATGCTCTAAAAAATGTCTTTCGCCCATAAACGAGCTCAACAAAGTGCGCCTCACGCAACGCACTTTGTTCGAAAGTTGGTAGTTGAGAGTGCATAATACTAAATCATACTTATGTCATAAATACTTGGCTCAAAGTGTCCCTCACACACATACATATACACAAGCAAACGACGGCGATGCCGCCGCCGACGCCGCCAAACGGAAGCGGCATTCAAAGGCCAGCCCACAGTTGGCACTGCAGCCGCTTCCTAGCTTTAGCTTCACTTGGAAGCCTGACTCTGGCGCTCAGCTGCCTCAGCCACCGGCGTCGTCGGCGCTTTAATGGCCGCGCTGTTTGCCTTTGTGCATTGTGCGACTCGCTTAGCTTTTGTACTCGTTTGTTTTGCCGCCAAAGGCGAATGGCTGCTGCCGGCTGCTGCTTTGGCTGCTTTATTTTGACACAACACAAAACAGCACAAAAAGTCAAATGTCTTTAATGCCGCCGCTTCCTGGCGCTTAATGAAAATCTCTCGCTCTGTGTGTATGTGCAGTTATTTTTAGCTAAATGCCAACGCACCGCATTATGTAATATTTATAGAGCGCTCTCCTCAAAGCGCATTCTATAAATATGGCGCATACGGAATTCAGGCTGAATCCCCGAAGTTCAATTGCCCTTTATTTGTGGCTTACTTCAGTCGCACTGATTCCCAAATGACGTCATCTTCAGGCTAGTTGTCAGCGCTGACTCGCTGTCTAGTTCGGTAAATGAGTGAGCGAGCTGGGAGTTCAATTTGGAATAGGATCAAAAAGTGTAAAATGAAGTCATTTTCGTAAAAGCTTTTCTGAAAATACAGCAACTGCAATCTCTCTTATATATAAAGCAGAAACCTTAGACTGCTCTGCAGTGTCTAGAGGCTTTCCACATTTTATAGGAGCTGCGTTTCTCGCTCAGCCTTCGTGCAGCATTCATTTTGGTGCAATATTAATTTCATATCTTGATTTTCGTGCCATAACTTTGACCCAAATTGTCTAAGTCTACCTATGCAGGCCTTTTGTGTACGTTTAAAAGTCGGCAACTTTTCGTTTCGTTACGTTTCGTTGTCTCGCACACAACTTCTTGGCAGCCCCGTGGCCCTCCGCCAAGCACAATCCTGTTCAACTGTATGCCATAGCCAGGGCACGTTTTGCACGTCTTCAAGTTGGCCGCTTTCATTCTTTGGGTAGCTCGCATTGTGCTGGGGCTAAACAAAAGCGCATTGTCTTCGGGCCGACTAGCGAATTTCTTTCGATTTCCTTGACTTTTATGCACTTGCTGCGAGTTATTTATGGTGCTGGCATTGATCGGAGCACAGTCCGAGAGCTGCAACGCCTTTGTCTTAATGTCTGTTAAAGGGGCTTTAAAGTAACAACGCCTGGTTAATCGAGCAGTCTCTCGCTTTAAACAACTCTTTATCTATCTCTCTGTCTCTTTTTAGTGGAGAGTCTGACAATGACTGAGATTCGTATACCGAAGCACATTATGCGACATGAAGACGCAGTGCTGGGCTGCAATTTCGACTTGGATGGCGAATCGCTGTACTCGGTGAAGTGGTACAAGGATGGCTTCGAGTTCTATCGCTATGTGCCACGTGACATGCCGCCTGGACAGGTCTTTCCGCTGCCCGGTGTCGATGTGGAGGTGAGTCTGTCCTTCAATGTTAACTAATCTGATTCGATACGAATTCCATCGAGTAGGCGCTTGCTTTTATTCTCTATCTTTCCCTTGCAAAGCGTTGTCAAAGTCAATTACGAGTAGCCCGTTGAGCAGTATTCAACTGGCAGGAAAAATATTCGTTCGTGAACATTTTCGGAAACTCAACTCGGTTTTAATGTACTCCAAGAATAAGTCGAAACTGCTGCAGACACTGGAGGAGTGTGTTCCGCCGCTCAGCCACGAAGATGCGGTTGAGATGATTGCCCAGATGGTGCGTCAGCCCATTAGCAATCCAATTGAAGCGGGCCTGCGTCTGGGCAAGATCGAAAAAGAGCAGAGCATCATGCACCTGGAGAGTCAGAGGAAGCTACACGCAGCCATGGAGAGCTTTGATACCACGGCCCTGAACAGTGCGCTGCCAGTTAGCGATATGGAGCTGACTGAATTGGCCGAAATGAATGCTGCCTTGGATGATGATGACGACGACGACGACGATGACGACGACGACGACGATGATGCTGACGACGATGACGACGACGATGACGATGACGACGATGACGACGATGATGAGGATGATGAGCTCGATAATGACGACGTCGAAGGCGTCGATAACAAGCTTAAAGCCGATCCTCTGACGCTATTTAACTTACAAGATCGCATCCAATGAGCTTGATGTCAAAGAGAAATTGTTGTTTAACTGATGGCGGTAGTCGCTGAGTTAATGTTAGATGGTGTATAGAGTTTCAAAATTGTCATTTAAATTATATAAATTATGTTAAGCATTAACAGACCTTTGTCCTTTTGTATTGCTGCAGCATCTTTTTTATAGCCAAGCTTGAAATGTCGCTTTCTATAACCCAGACAAGCGCAATATTTTCTGTAGCCACTCTTTACTTTTACTTTTAACATATTCGTTTATTTTGCAACTGTTTGTGTTTTTGCTTTTGCAGTTGCAAAACTCGACGGACATTGCCGTTGTCCTGCGCTCGGTCAGCCTACAGTCGACGGGTCGCTATCGGTGCGAAGTGTCCGGCGAGGCGCCTTCGTTCCAGACAGTTTCCGGTCACGAGGACATGATTGTTGTGGGTAAGTGCAAAAGAGAGGGCACGAGAGAGAGGACCAGATATAGAGCAAGATTAATTGCTCAGCATGGGCAAAGCGATGAAAAGTAATCTGTTTCTTTCAGTGGAACTCGAGCAAACAAACAAACAAAACACACACAGACTCAGCTCATATATATGTATAAAATATTTCGCATTTATATAGTTTATGCTTTGGCATTGTTTCTCGCTGCGATTTACAAATTCTCAAGCATGAAACCTGTGCCAAAAAAAAGAAAGCAGAGGGAAAAGATAACCCAGCAGGCAAGGCTACGCAGCCAGCCACTTGGGCAGTTGGGCAGCGTTCAACAACCTTCACACACACACACACACACACTATACACACGTCTGAAAGTCTGTGTGTGCGTGTGTGTATTTTGTATTATTCTGTTGGCAAATTGCCCATGTACGTGATGCAATTCAGCTGCTCACTTACAGCTCCAGACCTGGATCCAACTATGGCTGGGCTCCGAATGGGGGTCGGACGAGCGGGGGCATTTGACTGGCTGTGCTGCAACTTAATTTGAAATTTTTGCGCAATCCAACAAAACATGGCGCAAAATATGGCAGAACGCAATATGAAAAAGTGCTTTGGGGAAAACTTAGAATAAACGTGTTTAATAACAGCCGCAACGGCCGTCGAAATGCCAGCAGCAACAGCGTCGTGAATAAATCCCAGTTGCTTTTCGCTACTCGCTACTTTCGCATTTGCCAGCCTTTTCAAAACTGGGCTGCAGTTATTGCAAACTTGATGCTTAACACACAGACAGACGTGCAAGTAAGAGTAGAGTGTGCTAGCAATGAGTGGAACGACTGAGAGATATCCTAGGCGCAGCTTATATTAGCTTAGCTCTTAACTCTTTACGATTAGTGTGTTCTGTTAGAGAAATCGATATTTATCGTTTGTTGAGAAAAGCCTTAAGAACTGAATATAAAAGAGAGACTGAAGTGCGTATAGCTTAGCTTATATACAGTTTGTATGCATAACATTCATAACAATCGTTATTATTACTAGATTAATCGATATCGATTTTGGGCTAATGAATAACATAGCATGGAAGGAGTTCCACTAGAGTTCCACTATGACTATAAAATATCATATAAAAAATGTTAAATGAGCTGAGCTTGCACTACTACACATATATTTTAGAATATGTCGAACTTAAAAAATCGATATTTATCGATTACTGATATATAAGAACTTAAAAACTGACAATAAACTAATTTTATGCAGCATGAAATGTCCAACTTAGAAATATTAAATATTTATGAATATATCATTCATGATATAGAAATCGATATATATCGATTATTGAGAAAGCAGCTTAGATTTCACTTAATACTTGTTTTATAGAGTAAAGTAAGAGAAAGTTTCTTGAGAGTAGTGCGATTGGCGTGTAAGCTTCCGCTGCATGTATTTATCGATAAATCTTAATTTCTGAGTTAAGTGAAAAAGCAGTCCAAAATAAGCTCGACTTTAATATAACATTCATAATGTACTTACTGAAATAGACACTTGCTAGCTGTGGACGGCTCAATTCATATTCAAATAAAAGTAAAAATAAATCGCTATCAGCGTATAAAATACTTGTGTTTCCTCACTCGCCAGCCAAGTTGTAGGCAAATGTTTACATGGTGCGCATTCCAAATATTCATTTAGTTGAATATATACTTAGCAGAGCGTGGGCGTCAGAGACAGGGCAAGGGAGAGCGTTGGCAACATCATTATGATTATGATTGACATCGGCATTGGGCCTCAATTGTTGGTCCCCAGGCAATTTTGTATTCATTTCCGCAAGGTGGGAGAGAGCTATCAAACTGTGTGTATCGCATAATTAGCCCAACTAACTAACTAACTGGCTCCATATAAATGTGTGTATATGTAAGGGGTATATGGCAATCAGAGCTGCACGCTTCCGCTCTGCTGGGGGAATTACATTATTACTTGACTTTAATGTTTGCCTAGCGATCTCAATCGCAATCTGCCCACGCGCCCCGGCTCAAGTCTAAGCGGATTAAATCAGCTACGTTGCGAGTGCTGCAGATCTATAAAGTTAATGAATCACCTGTTAATGGCAGAAGCCTAAAAAACGAGGAGAGAAAAAAATATCAAATGATTTAAATTGCCGGAATATTGAAATTAATGCGGCAGTATATGAAGGCTTACGTGTGTGTGTGTGTGTGTGTGTGCACGTTGTGCCTGAAATAATTGAATGTGATTACTGGCGCAGAGCTAAATGACGAGGCGAAATACAGTTAACCCAGTTAGGGGGCTCAGATGGCTGCGACGATAGCTTCTGCTCGTATAATTGAAGTGCAGGCGCGGAAATTGAAAACAGAAGCGGAAAATATCGTCGACTGAGCAAAACTAACATTGCACAGTTAATTAGATTATCATAAGCTGCAGGCCGAATAACCAGACCGGAGCTCCAATGTGTTCGAGTGCCTCCGCTGACAAATTGATATATCTTTCTTGGGACGCAGAGTTTTTCCATTGTCAATTTAAGCTGCCGAATTTTGCCGAGGATTAGCAAACAAAGGCTCGAGCAACTGGTTTCGCATTCGAACATTGTTCAGGCACCTCGAACAATAAACGAAAAATGGTCAAACAATTAGAAGCAATTGCAAGAAGCAACCTAAACAAATGGCCAGCACGAAAAGGGTTTTATTTTTTTGTTGTTTGCCATCTTTCGTGGGAGAAAGCGAAAAGAACAAAGCAAAGCAAAACGAAATAATAATAAAAGACAGAATCAACAGCTCAATCAATGTCGCCGCACATAAAAGACTGAAAATAATAATTTATGCAGTTGAATGGAGCTGAAGATAGAAACAAAAAATAAATAAAAAAAAACAACAACAAAATAGTACAGCAATGCAGAAGCCGAGAGAACATACAAAACATGCACAAAATATTCTTTTGCTTTCGCTTTTTGTTCAGTTTATTTGATTTGATTTTATTTTTATTCTTTAGCGTGGGACAAGGTCTTGCATTCATTATGAGAATTTCGCTGTGGGCGGTAGCGCGAGGCAAATATTAATACAAGAGCAATCCGAATTATTATTATTATTATTATCATTGTCGTTATTAAGGCGAACGGAAGCGCAATGTCGACTGCAAAAGGACAAGGTAAAAAAATTTTAAGAAATGCCACAGACAAGCTGCAGAAAGATTATATTTCGAGAGTGTCTCACCCGCCCTCGATTTATCTTTCAACTTAAACTATATCGTTTGGCCAGCTGGCTGCCCAGTGGTTGACTGACCCACTTGGCGCGCTTCCAGCTCAGAGTTCGACACAATGCACAACAGCAAATGCAAAAATAAAACATATTTATTTGGCAATTGTTGCAACTTGAAATATTTAAGTGGCCGAATGTGTAATCTGTGCTTTAATTTCAATTCAATAAACCAAATACTTGCTTTTATGCCTTGATATGGCTTAAATTACTTATTGATTGTGAAGGCAGTGGCTGGCCCAAGAAGAGTGATATTCTATTTGAGTTGCATATTTCAGCAGCTGTTGAAGTTGTTAATAGGTTTTTGTTGTTGAGGTATTTGCTGTATTTTGGCATTCCATATAGAATCATCTTATGGCTATCTAGGTTGGAAAAAAAGAATTTGGCAGTCATCGCGTAAAGTCCTTCAAATATAAGCCTATACTTAGGAAGCTATCACCAAGCTGCAAGTCCGTCTTTTAATTTCTCTTGGTTTTTATAAAGCTTCCAATTAAGTGCAGAAATTTCGTATTATATTAAAGCATGTTTGTTTTATAGGAATTTATTTTTGTATGACTCTTACTTGGACTTGGAAATTATTTGTGTAGAGACTTAAAGTTTGATTAGCAAAATAAAATTTAAAATAAAATATTTTTTTATATACAGCTTAGCTGACAATTAGTCTCAGCTGTTTGAACTGTGTTTATATAAAATAAGAAACCTTATTTATATATATTTATATATTATAAGCAATCGAATATGCTTTTTAGGCATCCGAAATGCGTTCTACTTATACTTTATCTAGCTAGAAATAGAGATTAAAATAATTTATTTATAATATGCCTCGCTTATATTGACAAATAAGATGCCAATGCGACAAACCTGGCAGCAGCTGCCTACGAAAAAGGTTTACTTAAATAAATATTTTCCATTAAAAAAATCATTATTTTCAATATATTTAAGATACAATTTATATTTTCGTCTGCTGCTTAAAGACTTTAATACAGAATAAAGATATCGCAAGTGGCTTTAGCCACGCTAGCCGCGAGTGCGGCTCATATTATTGGCTAATCGATGCGAGCAAAAACACATTGTGCACTTATCTTCCATTTGCAGTGACACCCAAGCATGGACCACAAATCACTGGCGGTCAGCCCCGATACCAAATTGGCGACGTGGTGCGCGTCAATTGCACTTCGGCGCCATCGAAGCCCGTTTGCCATCTCAGTTGGCTGATTAACGGCATGCACGCGAACCGTTCGCTGCTGCGTCCGTACGAGCCGCTGATGGTGGGACGCGAGGGTCTCGAGGTGGCGCGCCTCGGCCTGGAGTTTCGTGTGCGCGGATGACATTTCAAGCACGGCGACATGAAGTTGAAGGTGAGTTATGGCCGGCCCCGGATCGAGCTTTAAGCTGATTACGGCCTCGAAATTGATACATTACATTGGCCATAGCCAGCGCCAAACGGCGGCGCCAACATTTTGATTCAATTTGCGGCAACATTACATGACAGCGCATGTTGATTACTATCAGGGCGAGGGCGAGTGTACATGTGTGTGTTTGTGTGGCTGTGTGGCTATGTGTGTATGTGAGTGTATGTCGTAAAGGCCACAAAATTTCATGCACGACTTTTATGAGGCGACTACTGACCAGCTCGCTTCTGCTGTGGCCGTTTGCATATTGCGGGTCATTTTTGGTTTATCAGAGCTCATCGTGTATATGTGTGTGTGTGTGTGAGTGCCACAGTTAATGAAAGCATAAAACTTTTAGTGTGTGCCGGCAACGCTCAGACACATTTCGTTCGGGCAGAGATTTCATGAGTCAGTAAATAGCAGCGCCCCCGTCTCTCATTGCAGTGTGTCGCCAAAATCTCGTCGGTCTACTGGCAGAGCAACGAAGAGAGCGTCGAGAGTGATAAGCATCAGCGCATACCCGTGCTAGAGTCAAGGGAAACGGTACGTCAGCTGGACAAATCACTGGAAGGTGAGTAGCCGAACGGCTCATCAATCATACGCAGCGCAACAGTTGTCAACAGTGCATCAACTTCTTTCTCTCTCTCTCTCTCTTTCTCCCTCTCTCTATCTCTATCGCTTCTTCTCTTATAAAGCAGAGAAACAGCTGAAGAAGAGTCGACGTCCTGCGGCAGCCACCTCGGTCGCCGCTGCGGCCTCATCGGCAGCCAGCATGTCCGCCTGGCTGGGCTGGTCCAGGATATTAGCGTTCAAATCCATTGCACGCATTTCGCTGAACGCGTTGCCCGTCTTAATAGCATTTCTGTGTAATGCCGCCGACGGCTTGTGCCGCAGCAGTAACAAGAGCAGCTGCTGCCAACATGACCGCCGCCTGTTGGTCCAATTAAGCGCATCCACGCCGTGCAGATAACAATTAACGAAGATGTATGACACCTATACAGCCCGGGTCGACGCTGCCAGGGCCAAACTCATTAAATCTGTGTAAATATTTCAACTACGTAAATGCACAAAACCGAAAACAGCGAGACACAAAATAAACACATCAAGTATACGCCGCGTCCGCCATGCGGTAAATCAAATTTTGCAGCTGCTTAGCTAATGTACATACAAAACCGACAGATAAACAGAAACATACGTACATTTCGAAAGTGTGGATGCTAACTTAAGAGGGTGAAGGAGAACTAGCTATAGCAGTTCCTAGTTCCTTTAATGCTGGCAGAAAGAGAAGTTGCTCAAAGTTGTTACAAAAAGCGAATAGAAAATTCTATAAAATAATAAAAATTTACATGCGAGTACGTAATTAGCCAAAGCCGTACAAGCCTAGACCTAAGCATAGGCTAAGCCAATCTGTTAAAGCAAACCAGAGAATATAAAGCATAAGCATATACTTCAAATAAAGTCTTCATATTCGATGCTTACAGCAAATCAAAAGCACTTTTTGTGTACGAAAAACAAACGCTAAAAAATAAAATATAAATAATATGCATAATTGTTGTAACTATCGCTAAGGAAGGTAAAATCTTCAATAATAAAATTGAGCGAAAAATAACTAAGAGTAAATTAGTCCAGATTAATAAGCGCAGAGTAAAATTAATGCTCAAGCGATTTAATATACCTAAAAATATTTGAAGTTCAGCGTAAACAGGAGGCAGAGCTGCGAGGTGAGCAACTGTACATTTCCACAGCGTAAGCTATTCGAATAGTAGGCATATATTGTACAGTTATTTTCTCTTCTTCAATGTAATATTAAATGTTTCACATACACACACACACATACATATGGAATACACATGTGCATATCTTGTGCAAATTATCCACGGATTGCTGCATGCAAAACTGTTGAATGTTTAGGCTAAGGCAAAATATGCAAGAAATTTAGCAAAATATGTGTTAAGAACTTGATTAACTTAAGTCTCTCAAGTGTTTAGCTGTGTAAATTATTATGTAATAATGAATGTTATTAAGTCTTTAAAAATAAAATGCATTGAAAATCGGACTCGAATGCCACTGCCCTGAAAAGTAGGCAACACTTTTTGTCACTGCTGCATTGCCCTCAAAAGTAGGCAATACTTTTTGCATAGCTGCAACTGAAACTAGATCTGGCACTGGAACTGGAATTATCATTGTCAGCGAGTGTCCTTGCTGCTGCTTTATTGCTGCCCGCCATTGTCATAATATCTCGCCTTCATTTTATTGTTATTATATTTACTTGTCGGATTTGCTGGCTATGCGCCTGCCCTATGCGCAGCCCAACTTTTTTTTATTATTTTTCTGCTGTACACGTCGCTTTTAATGCGCCCCATTTATTTTGACTTATGCGGGGCAGAACTGTACTTAGAGGCCACGCTGGGTGGGCTGCGTGTGGCGTATACTTAAAACATTTGATTACGTGTCGTATATCAACACATTGTATGATTGAATTTCGACTATGCGGTCGTCATCGTGGTCGTTGGCAACCAAAAAGGACACAAGAACGCTGACGTCCCAATGGAGGGCAGCATATCTGTCATTTGCCGAAAGGTTAAAGCACTTACTGCTCACAGCACCTTTGACCTCTGCGCTATCAATCGTACTCATCTCAATTGGTAATTTATGTATAACTGCTTTCAGATAGTTACTAGGCTCGTTGCTCCGCTCTTGTTCCTTACAAGTACTTAAATATTCTTGGTGAAAATTAAACAGAAATTATTACGAATTAAATGCCTCGAGCATTGCGCGTCCTGGGCCAAGTTCTGGCACATTTAAAGTTGTTGTAGCAATTAAAAATTATGAAAGCGCTGAGGCGCCAGCAAGGATTCCGGCATGAGCTCGTGCTTATTTGCTTAATTTCACAGAGCGCATATGCACAAAAGGACATCAGCCAAGCTCGACCAGGATAATACGGAGCAGAGGCTCAGGCTCTTGGCTGCTTTGCTGCCTTTTTTCGCTCTGTCTATGTATATACAAACATATACTAGATATATGTTTCACAGGCACTTGCATTGCATTTTGTTTATATGCTTTTAATGCAATTAGCACGCTTTTCACTTTGATTTACGCCCAGGCGCTGTGGAAGCGAAGTCTGAATGGCAGTCCAACTGACAAACTGTGCCCAAAGGGCGCTTTGTCTATCGAGGCACACACGAGTGGCTGGCAGTTCTGTTTTGCCCCTTTGTCTCTCGCTCTCTGTTTGTTTGTCTCCTATTTGTCAGCGTACATATTTATGAGTGGCAAACGCGGCTTTCATCTTTTGTTGGAACAGACGCTGCTCCTGCTCTGTTGCTGCTGCTGCTGTTCATTATGTGCTCGCTGCGCTTGTTTATGCAACCATTTTCATTAGCAGCGCCAGCAACGTCATTGCCATCAGTCAGTCAGTTAGCTGGCAAGCAGGCAGTTAGGCAGGCAGCAGCTGGTATTGAAGTCGGACTAGCGAGTCCTTGTCACAGCCATTTGAGTACTTTGACCCTCTCTAATGCATATTGTTTGTGCCTTGAAGCGTCATTTGTTGCGTTGTTTCTTTCGCTTGGCGCACTTTTAATTACGATTTGCTCACTTACATTCCATTTTGCTGCTAATACCCACATGCCATGCCATGCCATGCCATGCCATGGCACTCCGCGCCGAACTGCTGCTGATTACACTTCAATCAAACGCGCGTAAATATCAATCAACGCGCCTGGCTAAGAAACGCCCCAAAGCAAAACTCATTTAAAAGTAATCAACAAGTGGCACGAAAAGCACGAGTTGCAAGAAAATGGAAACTAATCAAAGAGTCGCAAAATGTCATTGCCATAGCCATCAAATAATGCTGAGAAAATAAAGCATCTGCTAATTGGGCGGGCACAGCAATGGAAATTACAGAGATAAATGAGGTGATTCTAATTATATTGTTTCATTCCTTATAAAAACCCTCTAAAAAGCAAAGGGTATTTCGATAATTTATGGCATATATAGATGCAAAAGTTATAGCCTCTCTCTCTCACTCTCCCTCTCTCTCACAGTCGTAAAATCAAGTGCATAGAAAATACTTCTCGCTTTCAATGAGTTATGGGCATAAATAAATGTCAGCATCGTCGCTGGACGCTGTTGATAATTTATGTTTATTGCTTATGCAAAACACAGCGTCCAATAAGCACAAAATCAAACAAATTGCTAAAAGTTCGAGATGCCCCTTGGCCCCAAGCTCCATGTGAACCACAAGTAGCTGCTGCTGCCACTGCTCGGTGTCAATTGGGAAGCTAATGGCGGCTCGTTGATAAGCCGCCTCAGCAAAATTAGCAAACAAAATGCGTAGCTGTAAATGCTTTTGCCTTTTATTTTCATTTTCGGCCGCTGTTTATGCCTGTTTTTTCGTTCTGTCTAGGCCGCAAGGTGAAAATGGTGTGCGAAAAGTCGTACGTGCGTGAAAATGAATCAAGGGCGCGTGCACAAAATGTAATTGTTTGCTGGCGGAACTGTGTGTGGTCAGGTGGTTTGGCAAAGATATGGCTGCGCCTTGTATATGATTTAATGTTAATCACTTTTAAGAGCCGCTGACCAGGCCGGAGATGGAGATGGAGATGCAGATGGAGATGGAAATGGAGATGGGGATAGGCGAGCAGTTGGGGCTGCTGCTTGTGCTGGGCATATTGAAAATACAAGCTCGTAAATTAAATTTTACACCGGCTGGCGCAATGAATAGCAAAAAGTCAGTCTCTCTGGTTGGGCCAAATGATGCTGCAGCAGTAGCAGCAGCTACTCCGCCAGCTTCACGACTGGCCCCATAAATTCTTGCTGCTAAGCACACGCAGTGCGCCTGGTCATCCATTGCCAAGCCCGACTTGGCCCCGTTTTCGGGGCCAATGTCTGCTGCCCTTTTTTATCGTTTAATTAAAATTCGCAACACGTAAATCCATTTGAGCCGCTGCTGCAATCTTTACTTTAACCTTAAGGCGTTCGCTTCTTAGCCACAATCCAAGTGCCAAGCTGTATGTGAGCATATCTCGCTGTGTATGCGTGTGTGAGTGTCTGGTAAATCCCATTTTTCTATTTTGTTGCTCCATAAAACCACTTTACACAATTTTCGTCTTTTGTTTTTCGATTTGCTGGCGCGTTGCTGTTGTTGCTTTGGCTTCCTTTTCTTTCATTCCTTTCGACTTTTTACCAATTATTGTGTGCTAGTGCAGCCAGTCAGCCGTAGCGCTCGAATTAGCCTTTGTTGGCGCTACCAATCAGCCAGCCTCCAGCTCCTAATCCCACTTCAGTTCAGCTCGGCTACTGCTGCTTCTGCTCTGACTCGACTGCCTTTCATTACTTTTCTATCAACGTACTTAGGCACCATTGTTGTGCAGTTATTTAGCACAATCAACACCCGATGCCGCTGATAGACCCAACAGCTCTCACGCTCTCTCTCTCTCTCTCTCTCTCTCCGTCGCCCTTCTTCCTCGCTTTGACTTGGTACATTTTATCAATGGCAAACTTATGCTGCTCTCTCTCCCTCACTGCCTGTGCCTGGCGGCAAGTTACTTTGTTCATTTACGTTTCAGCTGAGCTGCACACTGAATTAATGGAAATTACACTACACTCTCGAGCTGAGCAATGCCCACTCAAGATTTACATGCTGGGCAATCGAAAAAATTGATAATTGTGAATCGAAATAAAATTTTTTAGTGCCAATTGAATGGCTGCACATGCAGGTGTGAATGAGTTATGATTCGACGTGAATATGCTACGATCTGAGTATGATACGAGGCGTAAACTTGCTCGCATAGATGGCATCAACTTCAAGTTGTGAATCTTACTATAAATCATGGATAGTTCAAGGCGCGCAGCTGAATGCATAACATGGGATAGGAAGCAGGCTAAGCAAAGTGAAAGCGTAAAAAACTTTTGCTAATCGAATAATAAAAAGTTGCAATGTGCATTGTTGCATAGGTGAGCGTTGGCAGCAGCGAACAGCAAAGAAAAACAATTTAATGTTAAAATTTAAGTGAAACTTTTGCCGCCAAACAACTTTTGATAACTTTTCACACTGAGTCAGCCTTTAAGGTAGCCGCGTGGGCGTGGCAGCATAGCTTAATATCGCATGACGGCCGCGACACTTATTAGATTTATCAACGCTGCGCAATGAAGTTCGCTGGGTGACAACAGCCGCAGAGGGGTAGAGGGCGAGGACCGACTGCGACGTGTTGTCGCGGTAATTGGCATTCAGCTGCCGCTTGTTGCATTGGAATTTATGCGAATATCTGTCATGCAACAATCAAAATTCAATCAGGCAGCAACAGTTGTCAATTAAATGCCAGCGCATAATGCGCGCCACACACATGGCGTATGCGCAATATGCACATCAACACTGCGGTCTTGGCTGTTGCAGTTTGCTCAGCGCCTCCACACAAAACTTTGCTTAACGCACTCTGACTATGGGAAAGTAATTACAAATTGTTGTTTATCAAATAATGCACACAAAACGGAGACTGCCAGCAGCTGAAGCTGTGAACATCATTTTAGTTTGACTGTTAAAATAGATAAAAGTGTTTGAGTGCCATATCTTTATTATATTCAAAGATTTTTATATAATATATTTCTTTTGAAGTGAAAATATCTTGCTCGATCAAATAGATGTGGGCGTTTAAGTAGCGAATTTCGAATCACTTTTAAGCCCTCGACATTACTCTTCATTAATTATATGCAAATTGTTCTTGAGGTATTTGCTTAATGCATATATTTATATAATATATTTAACTGTTAGATAAACTGTCTGTTAAAGATACCCAGCCAAGGTCTCTAAGCAATTTGAGCACAGATGCTTTCGTTTGTTCTATTCTGCTTTTGAACTGATATCAAATGCCAAATCGTTAATGTTGCCCCAGGGATGGGCTTGCAGCTGCTGCTGCTGCTGCTGCTGCTGCTTCTCCTACTCCCACTCCTTCTGCTGCTATTGATTTCGAACTGTTGACAATGTTTCGCAAATGTGACGCGTCCAAATCATAAATGAGCAATAAATAACACATTGCCACATGTAAAGCTGCCACACGAGGCTGACAAAC